GAAAGGTAAAAACGCAACCAAAGCGCAAAAAAAGATTTCTGCAGTGTATGGAGAAGGTGCTGTGAGTGACTGAACGTGTCAAAAGTGTTTTGTGAAGTTTTGTGCTGGAGACTTCTCGCTGGGTGATGCTCCATGGTCGGGTAGACCAGTTGAAGTTGATAGTGATCAAATCGAGACATTGATTGACAACAATCAACGTTATACCACTTGGGAGATAGCTGACATACTCAAAATACCCAAATCAAGCATTGAAAATCATTTGCATCAGCTTGGTTATGTGAATCACTTTGATGTTTGGGTTCCACATAAGTTAAGCGAATAAAACCTTCTTGACTGTACTTCCGCATGCAATTCTCTACTTAAACGTAATGAAAACGTTACATTTTAAAAACAAATTGGAACAGGCGATGAAAAGTGGATACTGTACAATAATGTGCAATGGAAGAGATCATGGGGCAAGGGAAATGAACCACCAGAACCACATCAAAGGCCGGTCTTCGCCTAAAGAAGGTGATCTTGTGTATATGGTGGGATTGGAAGGGAGTCCTCTATTATGAGGTCCTTCCAGAAAACCAAACGATTAATTCCAACAAGTACTGCTCCCAATTAGACCAACTGAAAGCAACAGTTGACAAAAAGCGTCCGGAATTAGTCAACAGAAAACGCATGATCTTCCATCAGGATAATGCAAGACCACATGTTTCTCTGATGACCAGACAAAAACAGCTTGGCTGGGAAGTTCTGATTCATCTGCCATATTTACCAGACATTGTACCTTTGGATTTCCATTTTTTTTCGGTCTTTATAAAATTCTCTTAATGGGAAAAATTTTAATTCCCTCGAAGACTGTAAAAGGCAGCTGGAACAATTCTTTGCTCAAAAAGATAAAAAGTTTTGGGAAGATGGAATTATGAAGTTGCCTGAAAAATGGCAGCTGGTCGTGGAACAAAACAGTGAATACGTTGTTCAATGAAGTTCTTGGTGAAAATGAATAATGTGTCTTTTATTTTTACCTTAAACTTTTTGGCCAACCCAGTAACTAGAGGAGACTTGAGCAAGGAAAGCTGAATATGTCGAGGAGAGGGGTAATAATCAACGGAGCAAAGTCTCTGTGGAGGGGAGAGGAATGACATCTAAGTCATAGGAGGAGGGACTGTCCTTTTGTATCAGGGTCACTTCCTTTATTATAGTAGGAAGAAAAAAGGAATATTTTTAGGTTTGGTTTTTTTGATGTGGGTAGGTTGAAAGAATTCGCATCTGATGGCTTCTGTTTTCTCTGTGATAGAGAGCAAGGTCATCTGCTTAGACTAAGGAGGGTTTTATGTTAGAGGAATGTGGGAAAAATTTAGGGAGAGAAATATTGCCTATTCTCTTATGGCTTTTGGGTGGGCCCAAGAATTAAACTGACATAATACAGATTAACAGGAGAAAAGCACACATTTAATAAAAGTTCTATGTGACACAGGAACTTTCACAAGGAAATGAAGACCCAAAGAAGTAGCAAAACCAAGTGCTTTTATGCTAGATTGAACAGAGAGAGGCCATTGTGGAAAAGTAACCAAAAAATACAGGGAGACTAAAGGAAGATAAGAATTATTTTAACAAGGTCTGTTTGTACAGAATTCTCTCAGCTTTAACTCCCTAAGAGTGTTTCTTTTTTCCCAGTATAGGGCAGGTATCTTTCACATGGGAATTTTATCTCCTGTTTTCAGGAAGAAAGGGGGAGATCAGATCACTCTTCTTGCCTCCGCTGTTTTTCCAGTGCCTTTAGCTCACAATAATCCTTAGGCCAAAGTGGCAATTTGGGGGGGGGGGCGGTGTATATTCTGCCATCCTGTACCTATAAAATATAGTAGAAATGCTGGAGAGTGTTGGGGGTCAATTTGAGATTAATGACCATAATTTGTGGTGAAACCAATCCTATCCTTTGTGATTTTCTCCAGCAGTCCACAGCTTCATGGGCCATAGGAAAAACAGACACTGTAATTGATTTCATCCACGGCCAGGGTTTTATAGATACCTATCTATAAAAGACAGACAGGGGGAGCTAGGGCATTGTGAAGAACATTATTGAAGCAGTGGAACTGGCGTCTAAATTGGAAAATAAAGGAAGGTGAGGGCTGATTGAGAAGAGGAGAGGCAGCCTCCTAGAGATTTTTTTTTTTTTTTTTTTTTTTTTTTTTTTCTCACTGCTGTGGCCTCTCCCGTTGCGGAGCATAGACTCCGGACGTGCAGGCTCAGCGGCCATGGCTCACGGGCCCCGCCGCTCCGCGGCACGTGGGATCCTCCCAGACCGGGGCACGAACCCGCGTCCCCTGCATCGGCAGGCGGACTCTCAACCACTGCGCCACCAGGGAAGCCCCTCCTAGAGATCTTGATGATATCTAAGAATAGTAATCATTGGAATAAGTAAGCAAATTGGAAGGATAGGTAGTTTATGGTCAAAGATCAGAATACTTCAATTAATTGTTTTGGAATTAGACCAGATTGAGGTAATGGCAAGGTGCAGGGTGTGACTATAGGAGAGAGTGCCTAGGGTGGGATGGAAGAGGGATGGGCACAGGGATGTCAGTTGTTGGATGGACCATCTCTGAAGACATGGGAATTACCTGGGATGATCACAGTACTTAGAGTTGAGAAGAAAACTGTGTGCCTAATGACAAAATCTCTAATGAATGACAAGGAGTTATCAGCAGGCCAGAAGTTAATATCATTGAAGCAGATGACAGAAGTAGTAGTCTAGTAATGGTAAAATAGACGGTAAGAAAGAGATAAGTGAGGCATATACAAGCAAAAGCTGACACTGAGGCATATAGGAGTGGTATCTTCAGGGAGCAATAAGGTTTCAGTTCAAGCTAGGAGGTACAAGGAACACTCTGAAAACATAAAGATGTAATGGGATTTGCTGAGAATGGTGCAGCTGTTCCAAAAGACACAGTAGAAAGTTTGGAAAGTGGAAGAGAAATGAAGGGCTGGGTCAATTTCCAGGCAATACTTTGCATTACGGTGGTAATGTGCTGCAGAAAACAGGGAAGAAGAGGTGGGAATTAGGCTTTGGGATTTCCAGATGAAAACAGGTAGATTTAGTGTCAACTTCCAAAGGGGAATGTGTATTGAGGTGTGGTGGTCAGAGGGTGTGGCTCACCCAACCTGGGGGGAATCTCCCAAGACCTGCAGTCTGAGGTCACACACAACCAGCCACTGACGTACAGTACTTTCTGAGATTACCTTGAAACCAAGGATTCATTTATTCATCTGTTTTGAAGTATGGGGAAGCTAAGGCCCACCAAAGGTCAGGGAATTGTCCCAGGATAGAAACCTTTTTTTAATATCAAAAATAAGGGTTAGAATTCAGGTATCCTGACTCCTAGTCCTGTTTGCTCCCCTCCCAGCTCCCCAACCCCATTTATCTGAAGAAGGTAGAAGAGGTTTCTCTCACTTTTCTACTTGCAAGAAAGAATTTTACTTATACTTTCCTTAATAACAAATAAATTAGGTTGAATTTAGATAAGTGGGCATTTATTTTCTGAAAAATATATTGTCTTAAATCAAATAACTCTATGATACTGAATGAAGATTGTTCAACATAGTCACTGTTGTTTGGTAATACCTTTCCTCAGAACTAGCCCTACTGCCTAAGCCAATTAATATTTTATTCCTGAACAGAACTATTAATGACCAAAGAATAGGCATTTCTTGATTTAAGAAAACCTGGTCTTTGACTTGAAAGACGTAAAACATAAGAGGTGATTATTTACTTTACAAAGGAACCAATATTTCATAAAAGGACTCATCATAAATAGTTCACTTAAATCATTAATTTATAATGTGATTTTATGTATTCATTCAGTCATTTGACACATTTATTTATCACGTGCCTCCTATGTGCCAGAGAAGACAGTGGTGAACTAAACGCACCAGGTCCCCCTGTTCATGGCGCTTACATTAAATTATCAAATGAATGAGTGAGTGGTCAGCCAAACAAACAGAAAGTGCTTTGCAGAGAATTAACCTAAGCTGATGTGATGTAGAATGGCTAAGAGGCTGTCATTTAAGCTGAATTTTATTGACAAGGTAAGGATTTTCTATTTCACTTTTTAAGAAACATCCAATATTATTTTTCACATCGGTAGCCTTCACATTTTGGTAACTTAAAGAGATTCATAGCTATTGATAGTTTCAGTGGTCCCTTTGAATCCATAAAGTATGTCTTTTTTTCTAAAAGTTTGATTATTAGAGATGAAGGAAATGCCATCCACTGATAGAACATTGTCAGAGTAAAACCTTATGGGAAGTTTCTGCTTTCCTGAATGCTTTCACTTCTAAATGGCAGTATAATAAGAATTCCATTTTGCTTTGATCTCCCTACTTTGACCCATGATTGATAATGATTTCCTTACAAGTAGGGAAGTAATCTAGATTCATGCCTCTTAGCAAGCCATTTCAATAGATTTCCAGCTACCTAGCTATCTTCTGGAATTGTTGAATGCAGTACCGCCTGAGAAAATAAGGGAAGATTCATTCGTATATTCTTCATATTTATCAAGGACCTACTATAATCCTTTTGAAACAACTTTCTAAATGACCTGTCTCTAACAACTTTAATTTACTGTTACAAATTGCATTTTTACTAGTGACTTCTCCAGATGATTCTGAAATTTAAGTAGTTCTTAGACTGAAATATTCTGGATTTTATGCCTACTAGGAATGGAACTTTTACTTCCTGTAGTTTAATGCTCTTGACTAAATTAGAACTTTGTTTTTTAAATTCACCACATCCTTACAGATCTCTGCTTTAAAACGACACATGCATAAATTTGTATAAGGAGGATTCTATTAGAATGATTCTAGTGATGAGAGATTATATCATAGAAAGAAAACTCAGCTATCAATAAATTTTATTTTTATTTTATGCAAGTTTATGGTCTATCACCTAGCTATAAATGTTTAATAGTGATATAAGTATATATTTACTCCCTTTAAAAATCTTTCTTTTGTCCTGTAGCATGTTTTTGGCCTGGGGGAGACTGTGCACCCTTGGCAGTAGACCTAAATTCCTGAAGACAATTTGTGCTTCAAAAATCCTTGGACTCTCTACTTCTGCTGTAAGTATTGCTTAAGCACCTACAGAAATAATATTGCACACATTCTGCAATGTCCAAAAAACATAATTTTTTAGATACTTTATAATTATTTTATTAGAATGGGTATTTCTGTAATATAAACTGAAATTATCTCTTGTCATCAGCTAGACCTGACCTTCACTGGGTAACTGCTTGCCTGTCTATGTATCAGGCATATTGCTGGGCATTTTATTCAATATCTCACTTTATTTTTTAATTGAAGTATAGTTAATTTATAATATTATATTAGTTTCAGGTGTACAGCTTAGTGATTCAATTTTTTTGCAGATTATATTTCATCATAGCTTATTATAAAATATTGAGTGTAATACCTTGTGTTACACAGTAAATCTTTGTTGCTTATCTATTTTATGTATAGTAGTTTGTATCTGTTAATCACATACTCCTAATTCCCTCCCCCTGCATACTCTTTGATAATCATAACTTTGTTTTCTATGTCTGTAAGCCTGTTTCTGTTTTGTATATACATTAATTTGTATTTTTAGATTCCACATGTAAGTGCTGTCATATAATATTTGTTTTTCTCTGTATGACTTACTTTACTAAGCATAATATTCTCTAGGTCCATCCACATTGCTGCAAATGGCAATATTTCATTCTTTTTATGGCTGAGTAATATTCCATTGTATATATACCGCATCTTCTTATGCCAGTCATCTGTTGATGCTTGGGTTCCTTCCATCGTAAATGGAATTTTCTCCCATTCTGTAGGTTGTCTTTTTGTTTCATTGATGGTTTCCTTTGCTGTGCAAAAACTTAAGTTTAATTAGGTCCCATTTGTTTATTTTTTCCTTTATTTCTTTTGCCTTGGGAGGCTAATTAAGAAAATATTGCTACAATTTATGTCAAAGACTGTTTCACATATGTTCTCTTCTAGGTGTTTTATGATGTTATATCTTACATTTAGGTCGTCAAGCTATTTTGAGTTTATTTTTGTATATGGTGTGAGGGAATGTTCTAACCTTATTGTTTTACATGTGTCTATCCAGTTCTCCCAGCACCACTTATTGAGGAGATTATCTTTTCTCCATGTATATTCTTGCCTACTTTGTCATAGATTACTTGACCATAGCTGGGTGGGTTTATTCCTGGTCTCTCTAGTCTGTTCCATTAATGTGGGTGTCTGTTTTTGTGCCAAAACCTTGCTATTTTGATTACTGTAGCTTTGTAGTATTGTCTGAAGTCTGGGAGGGTTATGCCTACTGCTTTGTTCTTTTTCGTCAGGATTGCTTTGGCAATTCTGGATCTCTTATGGTTCCTATAAAATTTTTTTTTAACATCTTTATTGGAGTATAATTGCTTTACAATGGTGTGTTAGTTTCTGCTGTATAACAAAGTGAATCAGCTATATGTATACATATATCCCCATATGCCCTCCCTCTTGTGTCTCCCTCCCACCCTCACTGTCCCTGTAAATTTTAGGATTATTTATTCTAGTTCTGTGAAAAATTTCATGGGCAATTTGATAGGGATCACATTAAATTTGTAGGTTGCTTTGGGTAGTATGGCCATTTTAACAATATTAATTCTTCCAACTCAAGAGCACAGTATATCTTTTCATTTCATTGAATCATCTTCAATTTCCTGTATCAGTGTTTTATAGTTTTCAGTGTATAAATCTTTCACCTCCTTCGTTAAGTTTCTTCCTAGGTTTTTTGTTTTGTTTTGTTTTTATGTGATTTTAAATAGGATTTGTTTTTTACATTCACTTTCTGATATTTTATTACTTGGGAATAGAAAAGCAATAGATTTCTGTATCTTAATCTTGTATTCTGCAACTTTGCTGAATTCATTTATTGGTTCTAATGGGTTTTGTGTGAGACTTTCTGGTTCTCTACATAGAGTATCATGTCATCTGCAAATAGTGACAGTTTGACCTCTTCCCTTCCAATTTGGATACCTTTTATTTCTTCTTCTTGTCTGATTGCTGTGTCTAGGACTTCCAATACTATGTTAAATAAAAGCAGCGAAAGACAAGCCATCCTTGTCTTGTTCCTGAATTTAGTGGGAAGGCTTTCAGCTTTTAACCATTGAATATTATGTTACCTGTGGGTTTGTCATAAATGGTCTTTATTATGTTGAAATATGTTCCCTGTATACCCACTTTGACAAGAGTTTTTTACCATGAATGGTTGTTGAATTCTGTCAAATGCTTTTTCTGCATCTATTGAGAATACATGTAGTTTTTGTGTTTCCTTTTGTTGATATGGCGTATCACATTGATTGATTTGTGTATGTTGAACCATTCATGTGACACTGGAATAAATACAACTTGATCATGGTATATGATCCTCCTTAAGTATTGTTGGATTCAGTTTGCTAATCTTTTGTTGAGGATTTTTGCCTCTATATTCATCAAAGATATTGGCCTGTAATAATTTTCTTTTTTTGTAGTGTCTTTGTCTGGTTTTGTATCAGGGTAGTGGTGGCCTTGTAGAGTGAATTTGGGAGTTTTCCCTCTTCTTCAGTTTTTTGTACTACTTTGAGAAGAATAAGTTCTTTTTTTGTTTCTTTGGTAGAATTCCCCATTGAAGCCATTGAGTCCTGATCTTTTGTTTGCAAGGAATTTTTATTTTATTTTATTATTTTTTTTGCGGTACACGGGCCTCTCACTGTTGTGGCCTCTCCCGTTGCAGAGCACAGGCTCTGGACGCACAGGCTCAGCAGCCATGGCTCACGGGCCCAGCCATTCCATGGCATGCAGGATCTTCCCGGACCGGGGCACGAACCCGTGTCCCCTGCGTCGGCAGGCAGACTCTCAACCACTGCGCCATCAGGGAAGCCTGCGAGGAATTTTTTTTAATTACAGGTTCTAATTTGCTTCTAGTGATTGGTCTGTTTAAATTGTTTCTTCTTTTTTTTTTTTTTTGCGGTACACGGGCCTCTCACTGTTGTGGCCTCTCCCGTTGCAGAGCACAGGCTCTGGACGCCCAGGCTCAGCAGCCATGGCTCACGGGCCCAGCCGCTCCGCAGCATGTGGGATCTTCCCGGACCGGGGCACGAACCCGTGTCCCCTGCATCGGCAGGCGGACTCTCAACCACTGCGCCACCAGGGAAGCCCCTAAATTGTTTCTTCTTGACTTGTTCTTGGCAAGCTGTATGTGTAGAAATTTGTCCATTTTTCCTAGGTTGTCCAATTTGTTGGCACATAATTTTTCACAGTATTCTCTTTTGATTTTTTTTTTTTAATCTCTGTGGTATTGCAATTTCCCCTCTTTCATTTTGTGTTTTGTTTTTCTCGGTTCTCTATCAGTTGATAGTTTCATGGGTGTTCCCTTGTAAATGATTCTTTGATTTTCCCTTGCTGCCTTTTGAATTCTCTCTTACTTTTGCTATTTTAATTATGTCTTACTGTAGGTCTGTTTGAGTTCCTCTTTTTGGGGACTCTCTGTGATTCCTATACCTAGATATCTGTTTCCTTCTTTAGGTTTGGGGATTTTTCAGCCATAATTTCTTTAAACACATTTTCAATCCCCTCTCTCTCTTCACCTTCTGGAACCCCTATTATACATAGATCGGCATACTTTATATTATCCCATTGATCTCATATGTTCCTTTTTTTTTTTTAATTTGTTTTTCTGTCTGTTGTTCTGATTGGGTGATTTATTTTATCTTCCAGATTATTTCTTTTGTCATTAAGATGGCTATTCATTATTCCTAGAGTGCTTTTTATCTCAGAAATTCAATTATCTGTTTTCAGCTAGGTCTTTATAGTTTCTAGTTCCTTGTTGAAATAATCTGTGTTTAGATCAATTCTCTTTCTTAATCCAGTCAGCATTTTTATTAATAACTCTTTGAACTCAGTGTCTGGTAGACTGATTATATGTTTCATTATTTAGTTTTTTCAGGAGCTTTCTCTTGCTCTTTTAATTGGGAGAATTTCCTCTGCCTTTTCATTTGACTTAACTTTCTCTTTCTCTGTGAACTAGGGAGAAATGGTTATCTATTGTGGTCTTGTAGGGGTGCTTTCATGTTGGAGCATCCCTGTGCAGACTGTGCATATCCTTCAAAGACACAAACTAGTGTCTTTGGTGCCAAGGCTGGTTTTGATATGGATGCCACACAGCTCTTCCCTTAGGGTGGGCTGACTGCTATCACCTTGTTAGGGGTTGTGGTTGGTGTTGGAGGATCTAGAACCTGTGCAGGGTATGAAGCAGGACTTCCTGTCTGCTCTGTGGCTGTTGACACCCTGTCAGTGGTAGGGTCTGCTCACCAGTTTTTGCAGCAGAAGCACTGAGGCTCTGGATTGATCAGGCTTCATTCCCCTTGAGTGTTTGGCTTGTGCACTCACAGAGGTCTGATGTACCACCTGAGTAGGTGTCTGTGGCTCCACTCAGACACAACCTAAAGTCACATCCCTAACCCTGTTGTGGTTATCCCTGATCTAGTGCAAGGCTATGGTGTGGAGTAGGCAGGCCAAGCACTCACTAGGCTGGGGCTGGCGCCAGGACATTGTGGCTGTAGGAAATGAGGCGACTATGCTGCCACCAGAGATCTGGGCTGCCTCTGTGGCAGTCTTCTCCCAGGAGCTGTCTGCCCAAGATCCAGTGCCAAGTTCTGGCGTGGAGTGGGTGGAGCTGGTACACTCTTGTGTCTGTGAAAGGGACCTCATCATGTTGGTCACTGTGGTTCCCAGGCACTGCAGGAGTAAGCGCTAACAATGGCCACCACTCCAGCTGGACCACAACCCAGGCCCCTAAGCCATCTCTGTGTCCCTAGATCGAGTCTTCTCCCAGGACGTGTCTGCCCCAGATCTAGTGCCAAGCTGTGATGTGGAGTGGGTGAGGCTGGGGTATTCTTTCTGCTTGGATTGGGAAATGTAGCAAGCCAGCAGCCACCAGTGCAGAGCTCTCTCTGCCCTGTTTATTGGCAGGCCAGACCCCATGTACTCTTCACAGGTAAAGTCTAGGCTTCTCTAGTTCTCTCTGTTCCAACAATTCTCCCAGCATCCAGGGGGCTTG